TGCTCGTTTTCTTTGCGTGTTTCAGGTTTTTTTGTTGCCATTTTAAAGCATTTGAGGTAAATTTATCTGAGCATCCTATAATTTACTGCACTTCTTTATATGTTTTCCTCTCTCCAATCAACTTTTAAATCAAATTACGTTGTTCCTCCGAACAACGACCCATTTTACTTAGCTATATAGGAAATATATTTTATAACAATGTGTGAAACATTTGCCTCCCTTCTTCCTTAATATGGACAGTAATGGACAACTGATTTTTCACAGAATTAATTAATTCTCTAATTAAACCCCACACTACTATTGTTTTGAACATACCCCTTTCAATGGACGAGTCAATTACTCGAACAAGCAGTGTGTGTGTCATGACAGTTGGCTCTGTTGTTTTTCTATTACACTACTACATCTACAAGTCAATTATTTGCCATGCAGAAATATCATCACTACTAATAACAGTGATTCATCAGGTTACTGAGGTTGTACTGCTATTTTTTTGTACACAACTGTAGTTAGCTGCTCTCTACTGCAGTTCCCAGGCAAAGAGACCCAGAGCTTGGTCCCTGTCCAAGATGGAATATTCCGGTCCTCATGTTTACCTGCAACCTGATGAAAGGCATTCACTGGACGCTCAGCCTAGCCACACTTATACCAAATTGATTTCTCGACAGCATGTATGTTTGTAATGTGCCATTGGCCTCACTTGTACGTCTCTTCGAGCTAAAATGTCTGATAAATAGAATAAATGTAAATGCAAATGAAGGGGCGGGAAAACGTGGGGTGCAGAGGGGGAGGGGAGTTGGGCCACTCCCTCTGGAAACCACCAGAGCGGCGCTGTGCAACTGCCTAAGTATGAGGGCCTGAAGGTTTCAGGAGCGTAAGCAAAGGTCCAAGTAAAGGTGTTAAAAATGCAGAGCGAGGTTCCAGCAGGAGCGGGAGACAGACAAACCGGTGCCCCACGGGCCGCTGTGGAACACTAGCTACCCAGAAGACTATTAATTGTTTATACACATTGCGACATACTTCAGCGAAGCCACATGACGTCAGTGTTTGTTTTTATTTTCCTTTCAAGATGAAAATGCAGATGCTGTCACATACTCTTTATGGAAAAAGAGGGTGCAGCCGGGTTGAAGTCAGAGGTGGCTGGGTCTCCAAACAGATGTTTACTGTTTTTCTAGAGATGATTTGTTCTCCTGTCAATACTGATCCTCATCCAAGCAAAACTGAATGCCCTGTGCTGGCCTAGGACTGCGAGCAGCAGGTGTGTGCGGGGAAGCGCTGGCTTGCCACGGGCCTCGGGCCGGCCAATACCACACCGCGCCCCCGGGTCCCCCACAGAAGCCATTAAGCGGGCTGGCTTGTGGAATAATGTGTTTGGTTTGGCCGGGGCCTCCAGCAGGTGCTCTGGGGCCCGATTCGGGCTGCCGCTGGCTGCTGCTTTTTGATCCCCGGCCATGACTGCTTTACGATTCAGCAGTGGTAACCCTCCGCGGGCTGCGAGTGGACCCCGCTGTCCTGCCGCTGTCCGGCCAGACCCAGTAAGAGTACGGCCTTTAGCGTGACGCAGCTGAGCTAACGTGTTAGCATAGCATCCGGGCTGGGGGATGGCTGCCTGGCCTGAGACCAAAAGATTTCAAGCTCGAGGACGACTCTGCTGCTGTGTCATTAAGGAGGAAAGAGTGAATGTGCACAGCGTGTGTGAATATGCAGCCGTGTAACAGGACTGTGTAAGCTGTCAAGGATAACAGGAAGTGGAATAGTGGCTCATTGTGGTGGAGAATATTGTATCACACTTTGTTCTACTTTACTATTGTCCCGCGAAGCCTCCCGTAAAGCATTTCTGAATAAAATCTGAATAAAATGCTGAAATAGAAGGAAGTAAAACAGCGATTGTCTGAAGCCTCGGCTGCAATCAGGCGTGAGCAGCAGATGCAGAGAGAGAAGCAGAAGCATTACATCAGGGCAAGAGCAGCTGATCGTGAAGTAGTAACAGCGGCCCGCATATGGAGGCAGCACATGCTATGGGGGCAGGTAGGATGTGACTAACTGCTGCCTGTCTGTCTGAGGGAAAGAATCCCGAATATCCCCGTAGGCAGGCGGAGTAATAAATGTCAATTTCTGCTAAAAAAAAAAAAAAAAAAAAGATTTACTGGCATATTCTAAAACAGCACCTGGAGAATAATCTGTGATCAAGATTTAGCTTCTTCAACAGGGGTGAGACTGAGAGATTTGCTCATCAAATTGGTGATAAAGTGAATCAGAGCAGATGGACGGCCATAAAAAGGAGAACAGGTTGTTGCTGAGATCTGGAAGATGTCAGCAATAACAGGCAGGAAAGCGATGCAGGGACCGAGGGGGGGGGCGGCAAGTGCACCTGAACCGGCGATGCGGAAAAACATTTTTTTTTGTTGATTTTCGAGAAACTGAGAAGGTGCAGCAAGGTTCCTGGTGGAATGGGATTGAGAAAAAAGGGCCCTTTCATAATCTTTACCTGTCAGTGGTGAAAACCCTCCCTGTGAGCTGCTCTCAAAGATGCTGCACAGTGAATCTGATGGTTCCTGAGAGCTGTCAGACATCCACAGAGCTAGAACTGAGTAGGGTCTCTGAACACCAGCATTACGGGCAGCAGCCAGCAGCTCCACACTGCACTGGGCTAAGCTGGTTTTCTCTAGAAACTAACATTCTTCCAGAGTCTTCAAATTATTCTGCACAATTAATTGTAGTACAACCAGAATGAGCACTAAGATTCAGAGAAACAGATCTATGATCTGACAAATTCGGGTGTCAAGTTGAGGGATAGGTGTGTCTGAAGATCAGAGGTTCCACATCACCATTTCCATATAATAGCAGGAGGTCGACACACCCGAGAGGGAGGACATTCATCATGGGAAGGGGCTGGAACAGTAACTGCATGATGTCTATGGCGAAACTCACCTGTTACTCTCAGGACGAGGCCTTCAAAGTCAGGAAGTGGCCAGACCGACTGGTAAACATACTCGGTAGTGTACAGCAAATGGCCAGCAGGATCCAATTTATAAACCATCACAGAGGACAGTTAATGGTTAACAAAAGGCTAAAAAAAGTCACTGTAAACGCTGAGAGAAACAGACAGAGGCACTATGGGATGGGGTAGCTGAGAGGGTCTGCTGCAAACGGATGGGAATGTACACAGTGCCCCCAGAGGCGGGCAAAGGGCATGACCTCCCTCTCGGGTGTGCCGACCTGCTGCTATTATATGGAAACGGTGATGTGGAACTTCCTGGATATACCGGGCACTGTCCTGTAAAACCTGATCCTTTTATTGTTCTGTGGAACTGCACAGGAAGAGCATTAGGCCTGACCTGAACACGTAGTGAGCTGAGCACACGGGAGAGGTGAATGCAAGGCGGGCCGAGCCGTTAGTAGGGAGACAGAGCCATGCTGGAGCGGCACGAAGAGCACAGCCACCGACTGGGGCTATTACCACGAAATACTGCAATAACTGAAAAAAATAGAAAAAAGAAATAGAGTAATAAAAATAAATAACGAATACACGGTGTATCATAAATGAGAAAATAAGCAGGGGCTTTGGGGTTTACTAGGACCACCGAGAGGAACTCGGCACAGATGCTCTGGGTAATAAGCAAGATTAAGCGTGAGCGGGAACGCAGGTAAAGTGTGGTCTGCACAAAACGGCGGCTGTTATTTCACTCACAGAAGAGCGAAGGCAGATGAGTCACCATCCACACTGCGTCCTCCTAGCTCTCCGTGCAGACTCACTTCCTTACATCAGTACGCCAGCACAGAGTCATAAATAACATGGGAGCTCCTTGATGCTTTTTCCACAATTTAAACCAAAGGGTTTGTTTAAATCTCAACTCCTGCTGCAGCAGCATAACCCTGACGGTTGGAGCCTCATCCAGTCCATGGAGGGGCAGTCTGCCGGCTTTGTGCTTTACCACGTCGTCCAGGGTGTGAGACTAAGTAGAGGTTTGTTAGCATCACAGAGAGTGTGCCCCCTTCAGGTTGGTGTGTGAAGCACCATTGAGATTGGCTCCTCATTCAGCAAAGGTAGCATCTTTCACTACTACGTTTACCCGAATGTTGACTGTGATGAACGGCCAGGAGATTGACCAGCGCGCAGAGTGTGGGGAAGGCCTGAAATCACCGACCGGCACCGTAAGGTCTGTTTGTGGATGGATGGACACCAGACTTAAGATGGTGTTTATAACGGGACCCATATGAGACGCCTGGGTTCTTTGAACGGTGGAAACAATAACAGGATCTGGAGGAAAACACCTGAAGCTCACAGCGCCCTCTGCTGCCACATAGCTGTTCCGTGTGCAGTGGCTCTGGTCCCACACATACATGTGCGTGTGTTTTACTAAGTGACAGCACGGACAGCCCTGAGGCTGCGATATAAACATGACGCCCTTAACGTTTCCTTAACACCACACAAAGGTGCCCCTTCTTTGAGAAACCCAGCGCACATCCTGTATGGAAAAGGTCAAAGCCGCACAAGTGTCCAAAGAGCCTCATGAATAGTCAATGTATGGAATTGTCTGTTTGACCTTTGAGGCTCCTGCTGGTTTCTTTTTTTGGGTTCACAGACTAAACAGGAAAAAATAAGCGCCATGACTCGCTCACAACCAGTCTGAAGGTGTGAGAGGCCGCTAGGCGGGGCCATTTCCGTGCCGTCACCTGCGACCGGGCGCTGGCGACGCCCTGCGGCCCACGAGCTCTGCCGAAAGCTTTCCGTGACCCGGCTGGTGGCCCGGTGGACCTCACAGACAGGAGGGAGCCGGGGCAGCCTGCCAGCTGAGGGATCAGGCACTGAGCAGCATTCAACTGTCAAGGACACTCACAAGGTCCTTCGGAAGCCACGCGAGGGCAGGGGAGCAGGATGTGGCAGCACTGAGTCACACGGTGCTAGAGCTGCACGCTCTTTCCTACAGGCTGTGTTCACTGGCCTGCCTGCTGCACACTGGGCCAGAAAAAAAAAGTGGAACATGCACTCAGATCAGACCTGCTGCACGGAAGCCAAACTTTATTATGTTTGGTAACAAACAGGGAATGTATGTGACCATCAGAGTGCACAAACAAACACGGTTCAGGGCAAATACATCCCAAGTGGCTTCTAAAATAAGAGTCAGTAACTGGCTGGCTGCCGTGACTGACACCTGGTCTGCAGTCTGGAATGATCTGACCACATGACGTAGGATGATGCTGCTTATCATCAGCAGGATGCAGTGCTGCCAGAAGCTGTAAGACCTCAATTATGCAGAGATCGCAGAGAGGCACCAGACCATCCTGGAATGTCACCCGTGTTCAGGCTCCTCCTCAGGGACGCCTCAGTCCACAGAGACTAATTGCACTGAACACATTAGTCCTTTATTCGCCTGTACATCTTTCTGGGGTCTCAGCCCAAAAAGCTGATTTAAGCTCAGAAAACCCTCCAAACTATCACAAAGATGCTTCTTCAGAGCTGCGCCATCTTGGCCAGCTCCTTCTTCATCTCGCCGTACTGGGCACTGAGGCGGCCCACAGCCTTGGCGTGCTCCTCGTCCACCTGCTCCTTGAGGAGTGTCTGCTCCTTCGTGAACCCCTCCCAGTCCTGCCGGTGTCTGTCCATGCACAGCTGCAGCCGTGGGCTCTGGGGCAGACAGAGCATCATGTTACAGGAGAAAGCAGGAGGACACTTGTGCATCTTCTGCGGTCACTCTCCGTGCGTATCACTCGCCACAGTCTACGCCTCCAGCTGATACGAAGTGAGATTCTCTGCGGACTGAAAGTCGACATCACAGCAGGTGGATCAAGATTTTCAAATCCACACAGGATTCTAGACAGTTTATTAGTTCTGCATAATATCTGCACAGGTCGTGCAGGTGAAAAAAACACTCAGACCTCATCAATCAGGGACACTGATAACCCAACGATTCATATTTTCTGTCCCTGGAGAAGAAATGCTTCCTGTTACCTGAAGAACAGGAGTAAAACTTTGCAGCTAATCAAAAAGAAAACACATGATAGGATGATCTGTGATGGACTTGCTGACCTAAAGACACGGGCAGCGAGATCATAAACAGGCGAGAGTGGAACAGACTGTTCCAGTTTCCAGTCCCAAAAAGAACGCTCCCCAGTTGCTTTGTAGGCAAGCACATAGATGATGGATGGTCTGTCAGTCTAAATGAATCAGTCTGACAGGAGTCTAAGCGCAGCTTCTTTCAGAACTGCTGCATGCACACAGCAAACAGGCTGGGATGCAGTTTGAAAGAAGTTCATTTTAAATGCGATCTTGAAAACAGCCATCCCACCACTAACTGGTACCTTGAATGGGGAAAGCCTCTCTGGGGTGAAACGCTTGTCTCAAAAGCCGTGTTTGTTTTGCTCCTGTTCCCCCTCTTCTCACCTCAGAAATGTGAAGCGCTCACTTTTCAGAAAGGTACCGTGACATTTCAGCATTCCACACCACTGTCAGCCCTGACCCTCGCAAATAACTGCCTTCACCACAGTAAATCTCACCCCTCTCTGCAATTTGGGATGAAGTGGCAATTCAGCTTTCTGGGGACACACTCGTGAGATATGGGGGGCCCCCGTGCGTGAGAATGACACTACGGGGCTGACCTAGTTATAAACATACCAAAGACCCCAAAACACAGACTGGCACCAGATGTCACTGCCTGCCCATAAACATCTACCTCCCTGTTAATTCGGAGAGAAGCCAAACAATAACGCCGAATATTATGGTATGTAGCATGGTATCTAGCAGTAGTGCTTGAAACACACAGAGATTCCCACACATGAGCTCAGAGTGCTCACCTCTTGGGCCTCTAGCTCCCTCTGCTGGACTCTTTGTGCCAAGTGATTCGCCATTTCCACTTGAGAAGAACAAGCACATCACCACAGGAATTAATGATGACAAGATTACAAAGCTGTCTAATTCATACAGTACTGCACAGTATTGTGCAAATGTCTTAGGCAGTCAAAAGAAATATTTAAAACTATCTGTGTAGTACATGCACATTTACTCAAAACAAAACACACAATATTATATTGTGCAATATTGTAATATGCAAATTAAGAGTAACAATAAAAACTAATGTTCCCCCAAAAGTTACTGATATCTTGTTGGGCGGCTAGATGAACACCACTTCAGTTCCCAAACCCCCCCTCAGGGGCACCTCAGCCATTCCATGTATTTATTAAATTTCACCACCAGGTCACTTAATTGACTAACCTAATTAGTTTTAAAAAGTCAATGAGACATTGATTGGTACGAGGTGTGAGAGTTGTTGAGTAAAAATTTACATGGGTGTATGGATGGCTGCTACAGATACTGTGGTGATTTTAGCAGAGGTTTTGAAATGGCTAAGCTAACACACTCTGACAGACACAATGGCAGTTTTACACCAACGTGAAGATCATTTAAACATTTTCTTTGGCTGCTGAAGACTTTTGCACAGTAACGTATATTATTCATACAACACAAATTTCAAATCTTTCCTTAGAACAGTTACAGACAAAAGGTAGCTGGTTGATCATCTGAAAAGAAGAAGTTTGGCAAACAGCGTGTGCTACAGAGCACCACACAGGACAGGAAACATCAGTCCTGCACTGGATTTCATTCAGGCTCAGTGCATCTCCTCCAGCATCTCCTGGAGGAGAACAGGGAGGCAGGAGCAGGCTTACAGCGAGTCAGAACATCAGGGAGGTGCAACTGCAGGGCCTCGGAACATTCCGGCATGGTTTGGTCTGTGGCCTCCAGGACCGTCCTACAGAGGTTCTCCAGCAAGCGCCCATCTCTGAAGCCACGCTTCTCCTGGGGCGGTGGGAGTTATATGGTATTAAACTTCACTGGCAGCAGCATCCCCAGTGTTTTACGATGACAAATGTAAATGTGAAAAAGCATCTGCGGGTGGGGGGCAAAACATGAAAGCTGATTATTCATGTAGGAGGTAACAGAGCCAGCTTTTGGATTTTGAGCATCTATTTCTATTTAATCTTTATACTTCTATTTATTCTTCATATTATTATTATTCCAAGATAGAATTAATTTCAATACACTAACCCATGACATGCATCTAAATTAAATTACGTAAGGCCAGTCAGTCCAAACACTGCAGGGACCTGCCGCCCCTTTCTTCCTTTGCAGCTCACAGAGCTCCGTTTGTACGCGCATTTATTGGCTGAGATACGCGATGCTCCGTCCAGGGCAGTTTCTGTTACCACCATGTCTTGCGTCTCCTCTTAGGATACCATCATCCTGATAGCATCACATGTTTGCTGGTTACCAACCTCAAACTCCCTGACAAAGTAGCGTATCTCCCCCTGGATTACAGGCCTGTGGTCTGTCAGCCTGGACTGAATATCCCCGACATCTGAAGGGAAATGCCGAGCGGGGGGGGGGGGCATTAGCATTAGCATCAGCGGTCTCTCCGCTTCTTGCCCAGTGTCTGCACCAAACACTCACCTTTAATTATCCGTTCCATGATGTCAGGAAAGCAGCCTGCTGGTATTATTAACTAGGCCGGATTCTTAAACCAACTCGCAAGTAACCTGCTAGCTACCTAGCTAACTATCCAACTTCCCTCAACCTAAACTTACAATAACACCGCCGTGAAACACACCCCCTTCCGGGTAGGACTGAGGGGCGTGTCGGTGGCGCGAACCACAAACGGGGGAGTTCCAGCAGATGGAATATTAAATTAAGTTTCACACCCCATTACATTATTTGCATAAATACCTTAATAATTAGAAGAATGACTATTTTCCAAAGCTGATATGTCTGGGATGCAAGCTTGCAACAGTCAACAGTCTGTCTCTGTGACTACTATCCTACCCTACCATTTATATCGTATATTAATATTTAAGTCTTATGCTACAGGAAGTTAATAAAAGGTTATTTATTAATAAAAGCTGCTGGCTTTGCATTTCACATGTCACATAGTAAAAAGAACATTTAATATGCATATCTGCAAGGTGAATTTTATTTTCACGTTGTGATGTTCTAAGATTGCATATTACAGACAATTACAAAATACATAAATCTCAGAAATGTTCATTCATGGGATTTATAAAATTCATCTTAAAAAGTTAATCTTAATTGACACATTGGAAAGAAATGGGAATGTAAACTTAATTCCAAAAAAAAGTATTTTATGATTTATTCTCGATACCATTGTCAATTAATGCTCTTTCCTAGATTTTGTATATAATTATTATGGTGAAAGGGCCAGGAGGAATAAGCCAGATTTGTGAGGCTCTTTTGTCCTCATGGTCCCAAATGAGCCTTTTTTGCTCTGTCACACGCAGAGACTGGCCTCTCCCTGGATGCCTGAACAGTCACTTGTGGAAACCCGCAGGAGTTTCTCACGTACTCCCCCTTGTGGCCATGAATGTATGGCAAGCGGTTTTAGCTCTAATTAATTTCTGGAGAATATCACTAATTCATTCCTAACTAGTTAGAATTCAAATTCTTGATATCAGAAATTCAATTATAACTAGTTATAATGTGATTTAATTCTGTATTTTGATATCACAATTGCTATATGATATCAGAAACTGGTATTTTAACTAGCAAAAACTGAATTATAACTAGTTACAACTAAATTCCTGTTAAATTCCAGCTCTCATTGAAATGAATGAGAAAAATGTTTTGAAGCTCACTAGCTAATATGAAATTTTTGTTTAAAGTTAAAATTGAATATGTGATATCCTCTAAAAATGAATGAAAGCTAAAGCAACTTGCCATATGACTGATTCCTTGCTCATTTCAGTTGCAGATGAGACCCGATGTGTATCATTGTGTTTGCCTTGTAAGACATCCCATAATTGAACATACCCCCACTGACTGACTTTGAATTACTCATAGCCTCATGCTGTCCACCTGGGGGGGTTAATCATGCTGACACCCCACCTTTCTGTGGCATCCCTGCCCCCCGCATGCCGCTACAGCTCCTGTATCCGGCGTAGGGACCCGAGTCCGGCATTGAACCCATGTGTGCAGTTTCCTGGGATAAAAGCCGCCAGTCTTCCTGGCAGCGCAGTGCTGTTCCCTGCTGTGATTAACTTTCGACGCACTGCCATTCATTCCCCGAGGCCCCAGCTGAAGATCATCCCCTGCAATCGTGGCTTCAGCCCAGCCAATTGCTGCCAGTGGGCAGGAATGGCCAGACCTGTTGAGGCAGAGCTTCTACACGCTGTCGCCCGGCAGACTGACATCTGCGATGGCGCAGAAGTGCGGACGGCCCGGGCCAGAGTGACAGGAACGCCGGCAGCAGGACCCCGTGACGGGGGGAGTGGGCTGCCATTTCCAGCACCAGGCAGAGGGGGCCCCGGCCCGGGGCGGTGGTATTTGGAGTGCCGTCTCGTCAGATTAGACGTGGTCTGGCCTCGTTTGAAGCACAACCTGGACAGACGGGCCCCAGCAGGCAGAACGCGCTCAGGCAGATGATGTCAGGAGGACAGAGATGATCCAGCGCAGGACCAAGGAGACAGATGACACCCAGCAGGGAAAGAGGCCAAACGTGTAAGCATGCACGGTGCAGCTGCTCGCCCTGGGGTACCTGCCTCTCTGAAGCCAGGAGCTGTCAAATTAGTTCACGGGACTGGAAAGACTGAGGAGACTTGTGGCGTATAGAAAACCTCTCCATTCTTCTTCACTTCCTGTCCTAAAAAAATAAAGGGAACATTGAGGGATAAGAAACATGCAGAGACGGCCGACCCCCCCTCTGTGTGCAGGACGCAGGACGCATACGTACAGCCAGGGGCAGATTGAGAATCAATGTGAGCGTTAATCACCTGGGACAGGAAGGTGGCTGCTTCCACTGAGCGGCTCAGTCTTTGTTTACATGCCTCGTTTATATATTAATGTGACCTGTGGCCTGTACTACGAAGCGGGGTTACTGGCTTATCCGGGTAACTTGTCGGATTTAAGGTACCACAGCTTAAATGGGCTTCATATTCGTTCACTTACGTTTTGCCCAGACTACCTTAAATCCGACAAGTTACCCCGATTAGCCAGTAACCCCGCTTCGTAGTACAGGCCCCAGTATTCACTCATTTGCTAGAAAAACAAGATAAAAAACAACACATCATCTTACATAATTGATTATGTGTGACATTTAACAACAGCCCTCACTTTAAAAAGATGAACCTACTTTCACTTAGTTAAACAAGAAGAAATTTGAAAGATTTACTTTACCCAGAGGTGGGTCTAAGCCCTATTTGGGGGGGGGGGGGGGGCTCTGGTGCCTCTCACCTGCGTGGCCAAGACAGGTCGCTGGCTCCTCGTGGGGGGGGGGGGGAGGGTTCATCCCCCATATTTTTTGTCTCAACCCCTATGAAAAATAATGATTCTAAAACCATTTTGCAATTTGTCATTGCATGCATCTTGTACCCCCCGCTTGGCAAAATTTATTATGGGACCAATGGGTGGGCTGAGGCCCCCTAAGTGACTTTACCTGACCAGGATAACTGGGTAGCAGATGGATGGATGTGTACTGAAAATTATATCAGTGTTATATGTAAAAATTAACCAGTCCCTGGTAATTAAGATGCTCATGTCATGACCCAGCCACAATGTTGCCACATGTGAGGACCTGTCCAGTAAGGATCTGCCCAGTGGGGACATGCCCTATCTGGACCTGTCCTGTGAGGACCTGCCCCATGAGGACCTGTCCAGTAAGGATCTGCCCAGTGGGGACGTGCCCTATCTGGACCTGTCCTGTGAGGACCTGCCCCATGAGGACCTGTCCAGTAAGGACCAACCCTGTTAGG